CTTCCTTCCTTCCTTCCTTCCTTCCTTCCTTCCTTCCTTCCTTCCTTTCTTCCTTCCCTTTTCTTTTCTCTCTCTCTCTCTCTTTTTTTTGAGACAAGGTTTCTCTGTGTATTTTTGGCTGTCCTGGTCTCACTTTGTAGACCAAGCTGGCCTCAAACTCACAGAGATCTGCCTTCCTTGCCTCCCTGAGTGCTGGGATTACAGGAGTGGGCCACAGCACCCAGCTTAGTCTTTTCTTTTAAAACTCAGCTCCACTGAGTTTGAAAGGATCAGACTAACTTTGTAACCTATATGTCTTCTAAGGCCTATAGTTTTGAGTTTTAGGTCCAAGTTAAGCTAAAGCCTCTTAGTACCTTTCCAGAGAACAGAGGAATGTGACCCTATCTGTGAGCACAGATATAAAAAATCGAGCAATGGCTTTCACTTAGCAAAAAGAATGACCAGACCCTTATCTTTGAGATAGTGTTTCTTAGCAACCAACCCAGATGGCCTCAATCCTTCTTCTGAGTAGACCCTGACCACCAGCCAAAAGCCACAGCCCCAATCTCCAAGGATGAGCTAACAACCCAACCTTTAATTGCAGCTGCATCCACACTTGGCAGGACTGGCCAAGCTTGAGCACCTAAGACTAACCAATTATCTTACTTTATAGCTTCCTCATCCAATCCTGAATTGCCAAGACGGCAACTTTAAAATTCCCATGCCTTGTCTTTTAACCCAAGGCCTTTGTCTCCCAGTGCCACTCTTTGCTGAGCTGCAGGGATGACCCCATTGCGCAGTGGTCAAAATAAACCTCTTGTGATTTTGCAGCGATGAGATCTGGTCTCCTGAGTTCTCTTCATCCTTTCCGAAAATTAGGCTCATGCTGGGCCTAACAAGTTCTCAGAAGAAGAAGAAGAGCTTTTAGGTTCTTTGCCAGATTATAACACGAATATCTTGTAGCCTAGTTTCTCAGCATTCCCACTCTTCTCTAACAGCTCATGATCTTGTTCTCTACTAACCACATTCCTCTCAGCAACCCTCCCACGAGGATATGAAGGTCTTACGGCATTGTAGAGCTTCTGTATCCTGCCCCTCTGAACTTATCCACACCACTTCCACAAACTAGTTCCAAAGGCCTTTTAACCATGTGGTTAGTTTCGTCACCAGAAGAGACCTGTTCCTTGGAACTAATTTTTTGTGTTAGTTACTTTTCATGTTGCTGTGAAAAAATAGCTTGCAGAAGCAACGTAAGGAAGGGGATTATTTGGGGTCTTGGTTTGAAGTACAGTTCATCAGGGTAGGGAAGCCTTAAGAAGCTGGTCTCATTAAAATTGCAGTCAGGAAGCAGATGGTGCCAATGCACTACGACCCATTGCCTCCTTTACATTCAGTCTGGGACCTCAGCCCATGGGATGAGCTGCTCACCTTTAGAGGAGGTCTTTTCATATGAGTTAATTTTTTTCCAAAAACACCCTCAGAGTAAACACCCAGAGATTTATTTCTTTTTTTTTAAATTTTATTTTTAATTACACTTTATTTACTTTGTATCCCCCCTTTAGTATCCTCCCTCCTCCCCTCCCAATCTCTTCCTTCCTCCCCTTTCTCCATGTATGCCCCTCCCCATGTCCACTGGTAAGAGAGGGTTTCTTTTTCTTCCTTCTGATCCTAGTCAGTTACGTCTCATCATCAATGGCTGCATTGTCATTCTCTGTGGCCTGGTAAGACTGCTCCCCTATCAGGGGGAGGTGATCAAAGATCAGGCCAATCAGTTCATGTCAGAGGCAGTATCTGTTCCTATTACTATGGGACCCACTTGGACACTGAACTGCCATGGGCTACATATGTACAGAGGTTCTAGGTTATCTCCATGCATGGTACTTGGTTGGAGTATGAGTCTCAGGAAAGACCCCTGTGTTCAAATTTTTTGGTTCTGTTGCTTTCCTTGTGGAGGTCCTGTCCTCTCCAGATTTTACTATTTCCCACTTCTTTCATAAGATTCCCTGCATTCTGCCCAAAGTTTGGCCATAAGTCTCAACGTTTGCTTTGATAGTCTGCAGGGCAGAACCTTTCAGAGGCCCTCTGTGGGAGGCTCCTAACTTTTTTTCTGTTTTCTTCTTCCTCTGATGTCCATTCTCTTTGCCTTTTGGGATGCGGATTGAGAATTTTAGCCAGAGTTCTCCCTCTAGATTAGTTTTTTAGGTGTACAGATTTTAGTAGGTTTATCCTATATTACATGTCTATATGAGTGAGTATATACCATGTGTGTCTTTCTGCTTCTGGGATAGGTCACTCAGGATGATCCTTTCCAGTTCCCATCATTTACCTAAAATTTCATGATTTCCTTGATTTTCATTGCTGAGTAATATTCCATTGTGTAGATGTATCACAATTTCTGTATCCATTCTTCAGTTGAGAGGCAGAGATTTGTCTCTTAAGTGATTTTAAGTCTCATGAAATTGACAGCCAAGATAAACTAACACTGAATGTAAACACCATATTTAACAAACTCTTCGTATTACACTGTATTGTTTCAAACACTGAAGATAGTTTCATGTTTCCATCTCAATATTGGCTTTCATTTTTCTTTTCCAGGTATGGGACTTTAATGGATATTGTCACCACACCCTAAATGTTGGACAAGATGGAGTTGTGGATATTTCGCAGATCCTGGTTCTTAAGAAGACTATTCTGATTGTGGGCTGGGAGAGGTATGATATGCATATGCAAAATGTCAAGAAGGGGAAAAAAAGGTTGCTTTTATTTAATCAAAATATAAAAGGAGAGCATGGAAGTCCCATTGGGTTGTGAGTCATTAACATGTTGTTAGCTTTGGCTGATGAGTTGAAATTGACCAAATGCTTCATGAATAAAATGAGATTTCTGCAGCTTGGGTGACAGGAAGAGCCACTTGGGGCTTTCTCCTGGGTTTGGGAATTTGAATCTTTCATTAAAAAAATTTTAGATAAATATGTAATGTCATCTCTTGAGTTTTCAAGTCTCTCCTATATTATAAATTTGGAAATCTCTTATTATTATAAATTGTCTCCTCCAATTTTATAAGAAATTTTTTTCTTTTCTCTTGATACGTTTTTATACCCTGCAGCTCCAAATGTATCCATAAGCCACCTCCAAAGGCCCTATCAACCCTACGGTTAGGCTCATCACAGGAAGAGCTTTGTCCCTTGGTACAGGAGGGAAATGGTTCTCTGGCACTTGTGCCAGACCCTTCTTCAATCACTGTGGAGAGTCATGTGGCATCATACACTGCTGCTTCCACAGGTGCACTTCTTTCATGCCACTATCGGAATTTTCCCCTCAAAATGAGGGGAAAAACACATTTTTTCCTTTTACTGTTCTAGAGAAATCAAAGGGATCATAAACAAGGCCTTTTCTATGTACCTGTATAAACATCAGAAAAAAAAAATCAAGTGTGCTCTGTTTTGAGAATTTATCATTTAGAATTTTGATTATTCACAAAATGTTGTAATAAGTAACTTTCTTGATTTTGTTTGTTATATAGTCATAATGTTTATGCTCTGAGCTAGGGTTCAGACAGCTTCAATATCTAGAAAATCATCAGTGTACACTGGGTTTATATAAAAATGATTGTATTTAGACCACTGTTTTCAATGGCAGTTTGATGATTAAAAAACATAGGGATTGAAAAATTACAGGGAAACAGACTTCCAACCCTCACTTTTCCACATGTTTTTTGATTTGTGGAAGCTATTTAATACCCCCATGCTTACTTTTTGTACATGTAAAGTACAAACAGACCATGTCATTCCAGTTTCTTCACATATAAAACTCTTAGCTCTTAGCAAAGTGCCAGCCATCAATAGACACTTGTTCACATCCCTAGGAGCCATCTTTAGCCATTATTAACTTACAACTCAGCAGCAGGCTTGAGCTCTGCTGCTAGGTCACTGTTATGAAAAAAAAAAGTCTTTAATTCCATGGCAGGGTGGAGGTATCCAGCTGATCCAGTTTACATTCAGAATGTTAAAAGTGGGGCACTAAAAATTAATGGAAAATAAAATTTGCAGATAGCATTTCTTTATATTTTTAGAGAGTCATCTTACCCAGGGTCCTCCTCGTTGCTTAGCTTCTTTAAGTGTACAGATTTTAGTATGTTTATCCTATATTATAAGTCTAATATCCAGTTATATGTGAGTATATACCATGTGTGCCTTTCTGATTCTGGGATAACTCACTCAGATTTATCTTTTCTAGTTCCCACCATTTACCTGCAAATATCATGATTTCCTTGTTTTTAATTGCTGAGTAGTATTCCGTTTCGTAAATGTACCACAATTTCTGTATCCATTCCTAAGTTGAGGGACATCTGGATTCTGGCTATAACAAATACAGCTGCAATGAACATGGTTGAGCAAAAATATCTCCACCAAAGACAATATTTCTAATTGCCTATATGACAAAATTTAAACTATTTGAAGTTTCAAGTTGTTGAAAAAAAGAGTCTCAAGAAACAGCTTACACTCTGGTAGATGTTGGTGGAGTGTTAGTCACTGCCGGTGAACCAAGAGAAGATTTAGGAAGATTAGAATGAAATAAAATCAGTACTCTTCCATCTTCCTCTCTCTATATATTTTTTTCATTTTTCTTAGAGTTGTCAGACTTGGTTCCTTTATCTGAAGTTTGTATTAATGAATTACCAGTAATATTACACAACATTTATAGATGTGGATTTACAAAATAAGTTTCCTTGAAGTCATTATATTAGGATAGATTTTTCATGAACCAGACAGGATCATTTCTACTAAGAGGCTTTAGCTCTTGGTTATAGCTGAAGAAATATGGCCTGTGGAGCCAGCTCAGTATGATTCAGTGATTAGAGAAGAAAAGGTAAAGACTGACAATCACTAAGCTTTCTGTGAAATCCAGTGAGAGGCCTTTAGGTTAAGCTGAAGCTTTCACTCCAGTCTCTATCTAAACACAGAGATTGGTTTGATCTTTATGCTCACGACAGAGCAGAAACTGCTTTTGATGAATGAGGCACCTAAATACACCAGCTAGCGTGTGGCGCCACGCAGCGGTGCGTGCTGTGCGTACGTTATCTAAGTTAATCTCTACCTTCATCTTAGTAGGCAGCCAGTAGACTCTAGAAACCCCAGCTCTCTGCCTGAAGTTGTTACCTCTAAGCTGCCTCACGTACTTACGTATAGAGATCTCTCACTGAAATCCAAGACTCAGCATGTTCTAATCTGACCACATCGTTTATCCTTTTCTCTGAGATCACTTTTCCTCTCAGATTTTCAGCTTTACTTCATGGCCACAGGATTAGACCTCCACCATTTTTACTGATTTTTGCCTCCACCTCACAAGCCTCAAGTTGCTAAGGCTAGTCCATTTTGTATCCTAACTATTTGGAAATCTGCTCCTGTGAGTACTACAGCTGCTTCATTCAGAGCATCATGTCTGCTTGGATGAATGCCAGAAGTGCTTTAATTTGTCCTTTTCTGCTCACTTCTCGGTCCTTAAAAATATCCTCTACATATGCCCACATCTTTGTTTTTCACTGTATCTAGAAATCCTTGTTCTGCTTTAAAAATGTTGTTGATATTTTTTTCTATTTCATGTTTTTTCAGACATCTTCCCTACTACCACATTCTTTTTTACAATTAGAACGAAGAAAATAAGTTCTCCTCTCCCCTTTGTGTACAGTATTCTTTTGTACTTTTTTGAACCTAAGACTATTTATTCCAAAGTTATGTGTATAGCATTCCTTGTATGCATTCTATTAACTACATATTCTAATATATACCTAAATTATACAGACATTTAAAGATACATGATATTTCTAACATATATGATATTGCTAATATATTTAAAAGTATTTCTAAAATTTTCATACATATATAGAAAGTATATTTTTTGAATGAATTAATGGTAGACAAGGAAACTGGGCAGTAGAGTGCTGAATTACCCAATTCAGCACTTGTGAGCAGCAAAAAGTATACTTATTCAAATCTGCTCTATGTTTAGAACCAGAGACAAATGTTCCCTTTCCTCTGTGTTCTGTATGGAGGAGAAAACTGAGGCTTAAAGAGATTAGTAGTGTAGGAAAATTTACAACTCTAGTGGGCAGCTGAACCCATGTCATAGTCTACAGTCTTGCCTCCACTCTTGAATAGACTGTTGACAAATGGAGAAATAAAATCATGGCGAGGAACAACCTTACACACACACACACACACACACACACACACACACACACACACTCACACACACACACACACACTCACACACACACACACTCATACACACACATACACACATGCACATGTGGTATGACAAATGACAGAAAAGGTTGTCTATTTATTTATTTGTTTATCTATTTATCTATCTATCTATCTATCTATCTATCTATCTATCTATCTATCTATCTATCTATTTATTTTTGAGACAGGGTTTCCTGTGTATTCTTGGCTCTCCTGGACTCACTTTGTAGACCAGACTGGCCTCAAACTCACAACAAGCCACCTGCCTCTGCCTTCCTGAATGCTGGACTAAAGGAGTGTGCCATCAGGCCTGGCTGAAGATTGTTTATTTTGAGCGAAGCTAATGAAGCATTTACACATATAAATAAACACACTGATATCAATTTAACGGCACTCTAAAGATTTCCCCCTTTTCTTCCAATAATATTTTATAAGCTATGCCTAGGTGGCAACCATTGAATTAGAAAACAGAGCATGGTGATTGCAAAGAATTGTGATTCCTACTGTCAGTACATCACATCTAATTGGGAAATTTATGACATACAAGGCAAGGAGTGTAAATACTATTTAAAAACTGTACCAAGCAACTTATGCAACTTCTATTTATGATGTTAGAAATTAAATAAGTTGATTTCTAGTTTAATTTGGTTTTAAAAGGTATTTTCTAAATGAAATGACCTTAAGGATTCACACTTGCTCAGGTATAAAATTTAACTAAGAGAAGATGTTAAGATCTTCATAATTTGCCATTCTGAGGAACTATAGCCCCATGTGACTAAAATAATTCCTATTATTGAAAAAAAAGTCAGAATAGATGAGTCTAAAGTTGTGACTTATTTTAAATTTGTCATTTTGGAACTAAGGATAGGTTAAGTAAATTTGAATGTCACAGATACGTCCTAACCCTTATTTTCTGATTATTTCAGTGTCCAAAGTTTGGCCTCATAGAGTTTTAGGAAGAAGAAAAGAGGAGAATAAATCAAAACAAATTGACTAGAAATGGATTTTCTGCCTCTGAGATACTCATTATAAATATAAAAAGTTATAGATCAAAGGAGAAGTATTAATGAGACTTAAAATAACTGGACCAACAACACATGAGCAATCAAACTCTGAAGGAACAGATTACTGATAGAGTTCTTTTCATAATCAGCTTCTTTCAATGTAGCAGCATGGCTCAGGGCAGTACTGTTGGGATCTTACCTCTGAAGGATGGAGCCCAGCTGGTAAACTCCTTCAGTACCAAAGAAAAAGTCTACCTGACTCCTCAAATGGACTGAAAACTATCTCACTCTGAAACTTAATTTTGTTCTTGACAAAGTTCACATTTAAAAAAGAGTAGTCTTTGAAATGAAAAAGGTGAGAACTGAGCGTAGATTCTTGAGGGGTATTTTAAGGGTCACTGTCATTTCAAATCAAAGTTTTAGATTAGGTTTTAAGCGAAAAGTGCCAGGTAATTAGTTTTTCAGAGTTTTAACACAAAGAAAGGTCAAATGTCAAAAGGGCTACTTTTGTAGCATACTATGAAAAGCGTTTTGTGCCTTGGGTGGTATGTCCTGAATATATCTATTTCCATTTAACACAGGAATCTTGACAAAATGACAGTTGACGTTGAACCTTGGCTTCAATAGATACAATAGATGTAAAACTGACCTGTGTTTCTCTCTCCCACTCCATACTCATCTCCCTAAGCAGATTAGTAGTTAAACATAGAAATATATGCACATGGTATCATGATAATAAACTGAATTTTAGAACTCTGAATGTTCTAATTTGTAAGATCTTTCTAAGCCTGAGTGATACTCACATTAAAATTATTTTTTTAATAGAGTAATAATTCTTACACTGTTTTTGGTAGATATATGTACACTGCCCCTGTTATGTATGAAGTATTATTCTAGCATTGATGATAAAGATGGAAAAGTTCCTACTTTCATAAGTTTTCATCTCTTTTTTTTTTTTTTACTGAAGAGGAGATATAAAAAGAAAAAGGACAAAAATTGTATAGAACACAATGCCACCCAGTGATGAATGTTACCAAGGAAAATAAAACACAAGAAGGGATCAGAGACTCCAGGCAAAGTCCTAATGTGGAAGAGTTATAGAAGGTCAAGAAATCAACATCCATGTTTCTTTATACTTATAATCTCATTGAGGATTTTTGAGGTATAATCTTAATCTATTTTGTGAAACTGAATAATTCAATAGGTCAGAAAGGAATGATTTCTTCACATGCTGGTTTTTATAGAAGCTTCATGGAACATGAGTAGCCTTAAAGATGCTGCATGGGATACCTAAACATGGGGCTCCCGTAGAAAAATAGGACATACAACAACGGAAAACCAAATATCTAGAAATATTCAAGCTGCTTAAATAGCAATAAGAATGCTATTTGGGCAAGACAACCCACCTCAGTCACTTAGCACTGGCTACTCCTGACATTTTTAAGCCTCCCTGTAAGACAGTAAATTTGAAACTTTGTAATCTGTACAGTTAAGCTGAAGATATTTTATTTATCATATTATCTCTATTTTAATAAGGAGCAGCCTTACCAGGCCATAGAGGAAGACAATGCAGCCAATCCTGATGAGACCTGTTAGGCTAGGGTCAGAGGGAAGGGGAGGAGGACCTCCAGTATCAGTGGACTTGGAGAGGGGCATGGGAGGAGATGAGGGAGGGAGGGTGGAATTGGGAGGGGACAAAGGAGGGGGGCTACAGCTGGGATGCAAAAATGAATAAACTGTAATTAATAAAAAATAAATTAAGAATATTATATATCCAATATTGTACAAAGAATATGTACTTTATGGCTTTTTGTGTCAAAATTTCATTGGGAATTCACATATTGTTAGAAGACAAAGATGAAAGAATAAGGAGAAATAATACTTAAGTAGATTAAGTCTATATATTATTGGATCTCGAAAACAGGCTTACACATTTGAATTTTGTCATTTAGGAAATGAAAACCCAGGAAATGTTTTTAAGCAAGGCATTAATCTTTTATTGTCCTGTCTTCTCCTCCTGTTGGGCTCCCTTCTTTCATGTTTTACACATTTATTATGGTAAAATAAACATCAGCCCTCAAAGGTACCTGTGACTTGTGCTCTAGACTTCCACGGCAGTTAATCAGTGCTGCTTTAGCACTTACGATATCTCACTTAGGGATTTATTTATTTTGGTCTCCTGGTTTTAAATGTTTAATGAATTCTGTGGAGAGGCTTGAAGAATAAAAGAATATTGAAAGCTCCAGGATGTAAAGGTGAAACTGGTATCAGGGATGAAGAATTCATCTGGGAAATTACACTTGTCGACAGTGAGATTGGAGCCTCTTAAACTTGCTGACAAGTGGGGCGGAGAGCTCTGGACTAGGAAGGCGTGAGTGGCTCTTTGAAGTGGAAGTGAAAAGATGCATAGATCACACATAGATGACGTAAAGTGTAAGCATGTGTGAGCAGTGAACAATTATGAACAATTATTATTACATTAATGTAATGTGAGAGGATGTCCTGCTGGCCTGTGAATTAGACTACGAAATTCAGGATAGAGTATGACAACTAGCTGGAAAATTTGATTTTAATGTGAAAATACATGTTAGCAATGGAAGGGTAATATGTATAGAACTGGCAAATGAAAACCATCCATTCCTGGTAAGTGTTGTGGATGAAGATCAGTAGAAAGCCATTTGTTTGGAAATGATATTCGAATGCACGGTGGTATATGGAAGCTCCTCTTGAATGAATGGAGAGAAGGCGGAACAATGACCATAAAGAATGCTTAGCTCAAAGAGGTGAGAGAAAGAAGGGGGGGAGAGAGAGAGAGAGAGAGAGAGAGAGAGAGAGAGAGAGAGAATCAGGAATAGACAGCAAGTAAGAGATGGTTGATAGCCAGGTAGGTATCAAAACATTGTCAAATCCAGTGCTCAAAACTGTCGGGTTTTGTCGAGTTACAAAAACATGTAGCAGAAATGGACTAGGGAGGTTAAGGTAGAACTCAGCTGCAGTTCCCAATTGAACACTTTTTCCAACTGTAAGAATGTTTTATATCATGGTATAAAAAATAGTAACATCTGCTGGAAATGATTTACTGTCTACCTGTTTTCACTCTTGGGCTAGTTTTCTGTCATCTCCCCATGCCCATGTCACAGAGTTGGTGGGGAGCAGCCCATCTCAAGACAAAGGGCCTGGGAAGACATTTTGAGACAAACATGCTTGGGTCTGGAAATGGAGAGGGTAGAGCCTGCTTCCACAGCCAGCTTCTCAGCGAATGCAGACAAAACAGGACAGTTTACCAACGTGATGTATTTTGCAAAGTGGAAGCAGGAGTTTCAAGAAGGAGAAGAAAGCTCTTGTTCACAAATGAGGAATAACTTTTGTAGGACAATCAAGTGGGGCAGCAAGCACAGTGTCAGAGAGGTGAGGAAGAATGACAGTGACACTCAAGATACAGTAACAAATGGTCATTTGACGTGAGGGTAGCCATGAAAAGGGGGAGGCTGAATACTGATGGACACCAGAACAGAAGCATAACAGTGCCGATTCTCCCATAAACTACTGTCTGTATTCCCTCATTTCATCTGAGACATTAGATTGTCTATTCTGTTTCTACCCTGGTCTACACTCAAATTTGTCATCAGGACTTCAAAGCTGACTTGTTGAAAATAGTTGTTTCTGTGTTTTCCAGTTACCATACTTCTTGGGATGTCATTTTTCAAACACGACAAATGATAGCTTTTAAAGATCAGTGGACTTAGAGAGGGGCATGGGAGGAGATGAGGGAGAGAGGGTGAGATTGGGAGGGAATGAGGGAAAGAGCTACAGCTGGGATACAAAGTGAATAAACTGTAATTAATATAAAAAATAAAAATTAAAATATGAAGCAACTATATAATAATAATAATAAAAAGATGCAGTGGACTGCAGGAGAATAAACCTCATGGCTACCCCAATTCTGGAAAATGCTGTCAGGAGTGATTACATGTTAAGCATCCTTAAAAAAAAAAAAAAAAAAAAAAAAAAAAAAAAAAAAACTTTGATGAGAGAAATCCTATTGATTTCATTTTCAGTACCAGACAATATTTGTTCATAAAGAAACCCTACTTTTTCCTATTATTCTCACAAAATTCTTAATAGTTTCATGTGAGAAAAAAAATTTAGGGTCTTGGAAACAGACAATTATTTTGATAAATGGATGTATTCTTGGTTTTAATAGTTATGAGAGGATAATTAACCTTCCCACATTAAGCATTTATAATTTGCCAGAGGTTCAATGTGAGAGTTTTAAAGAGACTTCTGTGGGAAGCTTACTTTATTATGGATGACAAGTGGTGATAACATTTTGGGTGCTATAGTCTTTTAGACTTTAAATTGCACCATTAAAGTAGATAATGGCTGCTCAATATTGGTACCAATTTTATATTTGCAGCTAAGTTCTATATACTTTTTCCAGATCAGTTACTGTGTTTAGACCCCAGAACTTCAATCAGTTTTTCATCCAGTCTGAAGAATGGAAAGGGGGAATCCATCACCAAGATGACCTCTTGTGTGCTGCATTTTTACCTCCGCAAACTCTTGCCACAGGTAAATTGAGCCTTCACTGGACAATGGGTTAGAGACGGTTTGGTTGGATTTAGGTACATTTTGGGGGAAAAAAGTTCTCAACTGAAAAATACATTTCCCAATGAAGCAGTCTTATAGCTCCTTTAATTCCTTGTTTTTATGGTAGTTAGGGCTACCAGCTTCTATGACCATATCTGTGGTTTCACAACCCTGGATCTACTACTCAGCTACTGTATAATATTGTAACTCATTTAAACTTTAACACACAATTCTCTGTGGCTGAGAATAGTTTGGGGTATATCTTTGTTTTAAGGTTTGGATAGCCAGTGCAATGCATATCTATATATATATGCATATATATAATTTTTATTAATTACAGTTTATTCAATTTGTATCCCTGTAGCTCCCTCCCTTCTCCCCTCCCAAACCTACCTTTCCTCTCTTTTCCTCACCCGTACCCCTTCCCCAGTCTTCTGATAGGGGAGGTCCTCCTCCCTTCCCTCTGATCCTAGTCTATCAGATCCCATCAGGAATGGCTGCATTGTCTTCCTCTGTGGCCTAGTAAGGCTGCTCCCCCCTCAGGGGGAGGTGATCAAAGAACAGGCCAATCAGTTCCTGTCAGAGAAAGTCCCTGTCCTCATTACTATGGAACCCACTTGGATACTGAACTGCCATGGGCTATATCTGTGCAGTGCAATGTTTTAACACAATGTTAAATTATTTAACATTTAATAAACTCATTATCAAACACTACCTTTTGATTGTATTATTCATTTTTCAAAAGAAGTATTAGAACTTTTGGGTAAGAATCATACCTTGGTGACAGGCAAATGCTTCTTAATTGGAACATCTTAACTCTCTTTCTTATCTATCTTAAATTACATGTTAACATCTCTTCATATATATGTAATGGAACAAATTAACTCTTTGACATAATCTCTTTTTTGTATATGACAAATTATATATTAAGAAACACAGTTGTTTTCATTGAGAACCAAGTAATTAAATGTCATTGATAACCTAAATCTTAGTTGAGGGCATAGAAGTTGATTGAAGGGAAATCAACAATTAATTTGTGTATTTCTTGAGACAAAGGAATTTGAAAACATTCCCTCCCCTTCTCAAAATTAAGTAAGATTCTATAGGGATATAAAGTGAATTTTCTTCAAAAACCAAAGCAGGCTGTGTTCTAGTTTTCTATTGTTACAAAGTGCCAAATTGCATGAAAAGATCCTTTAATGTCCACAGATCTTTTCAGTCTAAACAGTCACTTTTGCCAAGCAGCCTTTAGCTCAGCATCTGCTTTCTCTGGGTTAGTAAACCGTATGCATCTTTTTCACAAGGCCATCCCTTTAGCAGGTGCATGGTGATACTCTTCACAGCCATCATGGTCTCTGAGAATGTGGGTCTAATGAGCATCTCTGGCAGGAAAAATCCAAAGTGCCCAGTGTCTCACAGTTAAAAAGCAAATGCATAGGGCATTCGATTTTATGAGCCCAGTCTATGAGCTAACAGAGCTTACGTCATGTTCGAGGCTGCCTATGCTAGCTGGCCCATGGACTTCAAGGATTCTCCTGTCTTCACCTCCTACCCTGTGGTAGGCACATTAGATCTAACTCCCAGTTCATTCTCAAGTCTTCAGTTATACGGGAAGAATGTTTAGTCAAGGATTTTGCTAATAGTGCACTTTGGAATCTGAGTGGACAGTAGTAGATCCACCACGGGGAAGTGAAATCCACCCCTTACCCAGTTTCTGAGATAAGAAGGTTGCTTAATCCAGTAAAGTACAAAGCTTAATATGCCTTTCTCTCCTCTCCAGGAATCTCAGGAAGTCACCACATATATACCTACCCCAACTCAGCTGTCCTCTGTGTGTCTTACCGGTTTTCTTCTGTACGGCAGTGGACTGTCCTCAGTGGACACACTGGGTATCCCATCTGGTCCCTGCTCGGTGACTTCTCCACAGCACAGGCTTGACCCTGTTTTTCCGTTTGAGAGTTTTTCTCTCTTCTGCAAAAACAGGAACAATGACTTTCTATAAGAGGAATTGTAGGACTGGAGAAAACATTTCACGAAGAATTTAGATGAAAGAAAGGCAAAGAGCTCTCTCACACACAAATGGTATATAGGAATAAAACTTTAAGGGTAATTTATACTTTCTCAATACCTGCCTAGTAATTAACATCACTGTAAATGCTTTTTGTTCTTAAAATAACCCTATAAGGTAAGGACAATCGTTAACCCAGGAAACTTCGGCATCAAGCTGAATTAAATATCATATGTAAGACTACAGAGCTGATATTTGGAAGAACCTGGATTCAGACTCAACTTGCTTAACTTCAGAGCCTGAATGATTTATTACAGTAAAAAAATAGAGATAACTGACTCCTATCCACCAACTGTGTGGGTTAGGCTATAAATATTGAAATTGTACAGTCACTATGGTACCAGGTATCATTATTATTTATGTCTCCACAAATAGAGAATACCTACTGATTATGACATTTTGTATAATGCCCATTAATAATAGCTTCCTTTTGTTTCCATTTGCATGTTTTCTATATAATTATCTGGTAATTTATGCTCCTTGCCCTTGATTCTGCAGGGAGCTATGATGGTGAAATTGTTCTGTGGAACAACAGCACAGAAAATGCTTACCATGTTCTTCACCCTGAACACCAGAGGCAGCTAACATCCAAATTAGGTAAGTGCAAGTTTGAAACTGACATTTGTGTTGACCTGGAAGATAGTAGGCCTGGGTGTTTATGCACGCAACTGATTCTGTGTACCTCTAGCTTATAGATGACTGGCTGTAAACTCCAAGGATTAGTGATAGTGTAAGTTTAACATAGTGATTAAGAACATTGACACTGACTCGGCTTCACAAACCATCCATGGCACTCCATTTTTTCTCTTTATGCTACGTCAGCATTTCTGTATTACTGGCAGCAGGAAGCAGGACTCTCATTTTTATCTCATTTAAATTTAGCCAATAAAACTTTCGGAATTGCCTTTGAGTAAAATATTGGATATCCTTTGGTGAGAAAGGGGGAACTCTGTTCACACGACTGGCTGCTCAGCCTCAGTCTGGAGCCTGTCTTAAATATTATGCCACCTGGATATCATAAATTATTTATTACTTTAGAAACCCGAGAGGGCATTAGACATGAGTATATTACATTTTAAAACAGTTAGCAGAGCTCATGAATATTTTATACTTAAGTAAAGTGTCTTCACAATTGCCTTTCATGTTTTATTTTAACTTCTTCAGAAACTAAAGGTTTTTCTGTAGATTAGTTTCTTTAGATAATGGTTATGCCATTTCCTATGGTTGAGCTATTTCCTATTTTCTCAGTTGGGTAAGTTCACAGAGAATAATTTTAACTTTACTAAGATACCGGTCATCAGATGCAGTATTTGTGTGTGTGCACGCGTGTGTGTGTGTATGCTTGCGTGTGCATATGCATGTGTGTGAAAAGCTGAAGAATGATTTATTGCCAGTCAGAAAACCAATTTAACAATTTAAAAATCTGAGGGATTATATGGCTGCAGACACAAAGCTTTGAGCTGCTTTATGTACAAAGAACTGACCATTAAGATTCATCTCAACATTCCAAGGACTTGGCGTAATTCTGCCTCTTCCTCTTCCCTTGCCTTCAAGAGAGTACCATCTATATTTGGAGCAATCCTAACTGTGGCTATCATTAAATACACAAAGAAATAAGAATTGCTTGTTTCGGTTATTTTTCTGTTACTCCAATAAAGCACTAGGACAAAGACAAATTATAGAAGAAGGTTATTTACATTTATGTTCCTAGAGGACTAAAGTATATAAATGACATAATGGGGCACGGTGGCAGGAACACAAAACGGAGGGCTCACACCTTAAACTGCAAACGTGAAACAGAAAGTGAACTTGGAAGGCATGTGGCTTTTAAAACTCAAAGCCTGCCTCCAGTGACACCCTTAATCTAGCAAAGCTACACTGTACCGGAACAGCACTACCAACTGGGAACTAAGTATTTAAACCTCAGAATGAACGGATGCCATTTTCATTCAAATCAGAACACCAAACTTCTAAAAGACGTTAAGGACATTATTATACTTCTCCTTCTTGTCTGTCCTCCTCCTCCTCCCCGCCCCTCCTTTTCTTCCTCCTCCTCTTGCTTTTCCTCTCTGAGCTCATGCATGGGAGACTTGAGTTCAACTTCAGCTGCCATTCCTCAGCCACCCTCCACCTCGGTTTGGTGTTTTGTTTTGGTGTTTGATGGGGTCTCTCACTGGGCAGGAATTTGTGAAGTAGACTGGGCTGATTTTTAACGAACACCAGGGATCCACCCATCCTCACTTCCCATCAGCTTCGGGATATAAGTGCGTGCTAAGACGCCCTTTGTTTCTTAAGTGCATTTTGCAGATGGAACTCAGGTGAACTTGCTGGTAAATGTGACAAGCACTTTACCAGATGACTTATCAGCTGAGAATTAGCATATTTTTCGCCTTTCAATTTTGTAAGTATCTCTGTAGAGATTTTTACAAAACTATTTGCAAACTATCAACAGATTTTGACACAAACATTTTCAATTTTCATAATGTGGCCTGAGGATATTCTAAGTATATAATTAAACTACCATTAGGAATGTCCTTTCCAGAGTAACCCATGAACAAATAGAGCCATTAAAAAGGATTACTTAAGTGTGCATATATTTATTCACTTGATTTCATGTTCATTAAATACTTGAAAGATAGCATTAACTAGACTCTCATGCCATTAGAGACACATTGATCTTGAACATATTGGGATCTCTGGAATGTTGACAATGACTAAGACATGAAGTTCTAATTAACTCATAACAAGGGAAAACACAAGAAGTGTGCCTGGCATATGCAAAGCAAATTGAAGTCAAATAATCCTTCTAGTTGGGGTTGGAGAAGAGAATTGTCAGAAGGCCTGGTTGGCGCTGACTCAGTATATTTTGTGAGATTTGATGGCGTCTCACTGGTGACTAGGATGGGAGAGGGCCCATTGTTGCTCAACGATGATGATTTGAACAGAAGGCACTTCTGTTCACCAAGAGCCTTGGCTTTTTCTTCATCACAGACCTAGAAGCCCAAAAGGTTAATGTCAAGAGAAGTTGTTCAATGCAGTGCATGACGGACCAGTCCACCGTGGCTGCTAGAAATGTTGAGATTGACACAGAGGGTAATAATGCTGTTACAAGACTCTGTTTCCTTGAAGCAAGAAAAATCAGTGCGGCCACAGGTAAAATATGTGTTTCAATTTTGGCTTTGAGAAAAGGGGAGGTAAAGGAAGTTCAAGCTATTTTGTTGTCTAGGTCTAATGGTATTT